AAATTAAATAAATATCATATTTAAAATTATTTGAAGTAAATAACAGTTTATCGTATAAATTTTTCATTTTACAACTGGTAAATAATAATTTACGTGAAAAAACTTTTTTATTAATCGTAAAAAGAAAATTCACAATAATTTGCTATTTACTTCAAATTGTTTTAAAATTTGCTATTTACTTCAACTATTTGTTGTTTACTTCATTCTCCCTAAAATTAATCACAAAAATTACTCCTCATATCCTTTGCCATGATATGTCCCGTAATATTAGTCACAGGAAAACGAGAATAAAATCTTAATTTGTGTTTCGTAGGTGTAAAAACAAGAGAGAATGGACACTTTTTACTATTTAGAAATGGTTTGAATGGTTGAATTTGAGGGGAGAGCTAAACTCTAAGGCTCAGTTTGGTATTGATTCTGGAAGGGAAAAAGCGCTTATAGCTGAAGCTAAAGCTTATAAAACCGTTTAGTAAAAAGCACGAAAATAGATTTTTGAACAATTTATTAACAATCTGAAGCTAAAAGCAGAATCAGTCTAAAGGCTGATTCTGCTTCCAACTTATGCGGGAATCGGTTTGAGAGTTTAATGAAATTTTTTTTATTCCCAATTTTACCCCCAATGAAATCTCAAATTTACCACCTGATAATCACATTTTCAGATCTGCTTCTGTTCTCATCTCCCCTCTCTCCGTTCTGTCTCCTCTGCTCTCTCCGTTATCTCTCTTCTCTGGCTTCGTTTTGTCTCCTCTCTCCGTTCGAAGCAATCTTCCCGGGCTCCTTTCGCCGGTCTCTCCTCCATTCACCGGTCTCTCTCTTCGTTCACCCACCGAGTGCTCGTTTGGTTTCTCCACCGTGCGCTTGTCAATTTGCCGGTCTCACATCTCCTCCTCCAATTGCCCCACAAAAATGAATCTTTTCCTCTTCAACTTCTAAAACTCTCTCTCTCTCTCCTCTCTTTCTCTCTCTAGAAAATGCACTCTCTCTAATTCCTCCCTTCCACCAACTTCCAGTTCCACACCCCCAAAAACCAAGATTCCCTACCCCAAAACCCCTGGTCGTACGGTCCATCCTCTAATGGAATAGGAAGCCAGAGCTGGCCAGAGAAACCCCATGCGTGGTCTTCATAACCCCCGGCAAGGGCGGCGTCAGCAAGATGACGACCACCATGAACGTCGAGCTTTCCCTCGCCCACCTCAGCTTCTTCGTCATGGCCATCGACGCCGATGTTGACCTCCGTCATTGGCTGGGTTGGCTTTTAAGCAAGCGGCTTGGAGGCTGGTTGAGCAGGATAGTATGAAGGCTATTATGGTTGAGGAAGAGCCCAAGAAGAAAGGGCTCTTCTCCTTCTTTGGTGGGTAGGATTAAGATATTATTATTATTATTATTATTATTATTATTATTATTATTTATATAACACTTTTGTTGTTGACAGTTTTGGAGAATTTTTTTGAAAATTTGATGAGGGATTGACACAAGTGTTATTGAGCTAGGCTTGTTAGAATATCTGTACAGTGGGTCTTCAAAGTTTGTCCCGTCTTGATTTCTGTTATTTGTTTTGATCTATTAGATTGTTTGGTTTTGTAGTATTAGTTTTGAAGATTGTGTCTGTTGCACATAGTTGAGATCGGCTGATCAATGGTTTATGTTCTTTAGTATTAGTTTGAAAGATTGGCGGCTCTAGGATTAGTTGTTGTTCTACTTATCATTGAAGAAAAATGGAATGGTTATTGCAATGAATTTATCTCCTTTATCTTGAGCTTCATGGACAAAAAATATAGAAGATTCGTGAACTAACTAATGTTCAGAGCATTTTGCAATGCATTTGGTGTGTTCTAGCTAGTCATTTATTATGATTCATGATAGCATCAAATGACAATGACGCTTGAATGTCTGGAATTATAACAAAGAATAAGATGTAACAAAGTTTGCATCATTGGTTTGGTAGTTTCATTATGTTGTAGACTAGACATACTTTATCAACATGATCTTAATGACTCCCGTGAGGTATCTGGTTGAATTATTTCTTTAGTAGTCATCTTCTAGTTCTCATCATGTTTCCTGCCCATCGTACCAAATCCGCAAAAATGCCAATGTGATTTGATCAGCAATGGAGTTACCAAAGCATATGAAACACCATATAGCGGTCACTGACTTTACATTTTGGTGACTTCACCTGAACACCAAAGAGTCTGGTCTTAGGAAGTAGTATTGGATTTGGCGGTAACAAGCCGAGAGTTCACCAGTAGTCTCCTTGGCAGTTCTGGCCCCACACTGGTAATATCCGCCTATTCTTCTATCAAGTAAAGCCAATTTACGGGACCGGATCCTCACTGATGTGTAGGCCAGCATCGGGGTTTACATTCTGCGATATTTAAATGTTTTTAAGTTGGTGGCAATTGAGAAGTGTACCGGTTGCTAGGAATATTAATGGATGAAGTATGAGATTAAATTGCGATAAGTTTAATGAACACGATTTAATTCTTTTAATGACTCTGTCAGTTTTTGAACATGGAATGTACATTTTTGTTCAACAAATTGATTACTCACTAATACTCATTTTAGTTGTAACTATATTCTAAATGAAGAAATGAAAAAAAATAATAATTATCATCAATTTATTGTTAAAAAACTCAAAATCATAGCATTATGTTTTTTTAAGTTAATCAAGTATTTCTAAATACCAAAAATAATTATATATATTTAAGTTTCATATCATGTCTATTTTGGTCATTTTACATACCCACAGCAATTCAACATCAAAATTTATCAAACGCTATTACACTGATTTTAGAACCAGCACAGCTACTATAATTATAGTTTACAAAACACTCAGCTACTTCTTGTAACAGCTGCTTCTTCCTTCAGCACAGCTAAAAGCAATTTTTTTAAAATCTACAGCACTACCAAACTAAGCCTAAGTCCCTGTTTATTTTACTAGTTTAGTTCAGTTCAACTCAATTTGAACAGTGAGCACAGTTTGAACAAGTGTTTGGTAAGCATGCAGTTTGAATTATATTTCTAGTTTGAACTGAGTTAAATGGCCAAACAAGAGTCTAGCTCCTCACTCAAGTTTAACAGTTCAAATAACAGTAAAAAGTGCCAATTCTCTCTATTTTTCACACCTACCAAACACAAATTTGAATTTTATTCCATGTTTAAATTAAAACTTTAACTATACATCCAAACGTCAATTCAAACTACAATTTAAATAACGTAGTTTAAATTTTTCTTTTCAAATCGAAAAGTTCAAACCAATTAACCAAATGGGGGTTAAGTTGGGTCATTTAACTCAATTCAAACAGGAAATATAATTTAAACTGCATGCTTGCCAAACGCAAGTTCAAACTGTACTCACTGTTTAAACTGAGTTGAACTGAACTAAACTAGTGAACAAACATGGCTTTTAATCATTGTATTGATAAATCTAACCTTTGTATCTTTATGTATGATCTTGTAACAAAAAAAAAAAAAGAAATGAATCACGTGTAATGTTTATAAAACAATGAAAAAAATCATAAAAATCGTATTTCCAAGCTAAGTTGTAAAGACTGATTTGTTAATTACTGTTGCATTATAAGCTAATCTATAAGATAAGTTTATCTATGAATTTAAAACTCAAGAAGTATTAATTTTGAGAACATCCTTACTTTTTTTAATCCCTTGAAAAAATTCACGTAAAGTTTTTTTTTTCTTAATGAAATAAAAGTGGCGGCTAAGCGGCAACGTCCAACGTAGTCGTTCATTGGTCAGCTTGAAAGAATAACATCTTTTTCCCCATTTTCTTCCCCCTTTTGATTCTTCTTCTTCCCAGCTTCTATTTTATTTTCACTCCGTTTACAAACCGGAAATATAAAAGATTTCCGCTAAATTATGGAAGACGAAGGATGGGTTTTGGTGCAACATCCCGAAGAGAATAAAATGGAGGATTGAAGTTCTAGACCAGTCAAAGTAACGTTTATGGAGCCCGCCAAGCACTAGACCGGCGCTTCCCATTGGCAAGGGTTGCCTCGGGGCCATAATCTGGGGAGGCGTAGGTTTCGAGATTATCCAGCTCAATCGTAACTTCTTCATCAAATTTTGGGCGCATTTAGAACTCGTTTCAAAATGATTTTATTTATTGTATGAAATAAAAATGAAAACGTTTTCAATCTCAGATAGAAATCATTTTTAAAAATGTGTTTAATAGTTTTATCAATAGATTATTTTTAGTATAAAAAAAACTTATTAATGTCTTTCTCTCTGCTCGAGAGAGGAGAAAATAAAAACAAAAAATGAAAAATTTATCTCTCATTTTACACTAAACTAAAAAATCGTTTTCATTTCTGTTTTTTATCTTTATTGCGCCAAATGTCGTTTTAGAAACATTTTCATTTTTTCTTTCTCAAAAAACATGAAAAATAAAAATGAGATCAATTCTAAATACGGCATTTGATTTCAAATAATCTGTTTGGTGAAAGGGACAAGACGATTGAGCCATGTTTGGTACATATATTTAAATCACGATTCTAATTTTGTTACATTGTTTAATATTTTACAAAGAATTTAAATTTAAATTTTTTTTCTCATACAAAATTACTGTTAATAAATCAAAATCACTAATTTGAACACAAAAGTTAAATAGAGCTGTAATTCTTAAGAAGTTTCAAAAAAGTGAGATTTTTTAAAACTTTTGTTGGATAAGGGTTTTTTATGTTTTACTTTTTATTTTTTTTCTCCTTTATTACTTTTATTATTTAATGATTTTTATAAATTTAATTCAAATTTAATACGGAATTTTTGGTCATCAATTCTATTAGAATAATAGACGAAAGTAAATATAAAAAGTAATTTGATCTATTTTTTATAAATTAGAGTGTTTTGAATGATTTTAAAAAATTAAAGCGCATTTTAAAAATGATACATAATAATGATAGTATTTATAAAATTAATCCATATATATTTGCTAAATACAATTACTAACTGTATAATCCTCCTTATCCCCAACCACATTAAAAGCGCACACAATCTCTCTCAGTTTCTCTCTCTTCGTCACCACTTGCCAGATGAACTCACTGCACCACACACTCACCCCTCCTTCCCACATCAACACATTCACAAACCTCTCTCTCTCTCTAAAACCATCCACAACCTCCATTTTCAGCAATTCCATCCATGGCTGCCATCTCTGCTCCGACCCCTCACAAGCTCACATTCCCCAACTCCATTTTCCCTTCCTCGCCTCTCCGCAGGCCCTTCTCTCCTTCTAGGGTTTCCCTTTCCGATTCCTCCCTCTGCCGCTGCCAAAGCTCCTCCTCCTCTTCCTCTTCTCCTTCTCCCTCCGACTCCCACTGGCGCTGGGACTCCTCCGCCATCGCCGACGTTGTCAAAACAGCCGTCAAGCGCTTCGATTCCTTCCTTAATTCGCGCCTCAACCGCTCCGCCGCCGATTCCCCCGCCGTCGCTGAATCCGATGCCGCCAACTCTCCCGACGACGACCCCGCTTGGGATTGGGATCGGTGGCGTAAGCATTTCGCCGAGGTCGACGAGATCTCCGTCTTGAAGGTCTCGGCCTTTCTCCTCTCTTTTCATATTTCATTTCATTTCTTTTTATTTTCCTGTAAATTAAGGTTTTTTTTTTTGGCATGAACAGGCTCAGCTAGGCCGCGCAATACATGCCGAGGAATTCGAAGAAGCGGCGAGGCTGAAAGTGGCGATTGCAGCTGCGGCCACCAACGACGTCGTCGGTAGAGAAATGTATAAACTGAATGTAAGAATTTACTTTTTTCAATTAAATTATTGTTTTTTTTTTTTTTTTTTTTTTTTTTTTTTTTTTTTTTTTTGGTTTTTTTTGCGATTCTATAAGGAGCTGATTATGTGCTTGTTTTTGTTTTTAAGAGAGCTATACAGGAAGAGCGATACCGGGAAGCGGCATTTATAAGGGATAATGCTGGCGCTGGATTGGTGAGTGAAATGATAGTAGTGTATATATGAATGGAATTTGTTGTTATATCGAAACTATAATTTGTGGTTCCTCTATATTTTCATTCATGATCATGGGCAATTTGTCCGTCTTTTATAGGTCAAGCTATTTTAATTTCGAGGAATGAGCTTTCGGCCTTATTTTTGAATATAAAGATTTGGTTGTTCGTTGCTTTTAAGGCTTTGTATCTAATTTTGATTAAGTTGTATATCCTTGTAGCTGAGATTCTATTCAGTTACGAATTTACCATGACATTGTAAGAAGTGGAATATTAAGTTTCTTTCCCCCCTTTTTTTTTTAGAAATAACTTAAATTTACGCAATAGCTGAAATGTTTTCAGCTATAAATTGCTCGCTAGGTTCCTGATATTTGTTAGATGTTGTAATGGACTTCATCTTATACTTTCTTTTGCATCTGGGTTGTTTCTTTTATGGTGGCACGTCAGGGAACTGTATTTTGGTCATAGGATTTTGGTTCAGTACCACAAACATTTTAATACAAATTTCAAAGATTTTAGTTGTTAATACTGTATATGATAGTTCTTCTATTTGATCTTCATATAATATGTTTCCTTGGTGTTGCATTTTTTCCCCTGATTCTGGATTACAGGTTGGATGGTGGGCTGGAAATGCAAAGGATATCAATGATCCTCATGGTCTAATCATTCGTATAACTGCAGAACATGGGAAATATGTGGCAAGAAGTTATAGTCCTAGGTATGTGCTTTTTCTTGCTAGATTGAAAGGAGTCCCATTGGATGCTATCTTTTTTGATGATGCATTCTGGCATTGGTATGCTATCTTTTTAATATAACATATGCTAAGCTAGCTGAGTAGATTTATGCAAAGTTGCGAACTAAAGAACTAAAACATATAACATTTTTTCTTTTTTATGTAAGAAAAACAACCTTTCATCGATAAGAACCAATTACACGGGAAGGAGGATAAGGAATCCTTGAAGAAAAAGAAATTACGAAAAAACAAAAATTGATATACAAGAGTTATCGTCTCTAATAAGTGTTATTTATTGTTAGCCTCATTCTCTTACTATGTTAGGTATGCTCAAGGATTATCCTACTAGTTTTTATTCTTATTTTTCAAGTGTGTGTAAACAGTTTTGGCTCCCTTTCTGTGACTAATATCCTTTTTTTTTTTAACGATAACAAATGGGATCGTCCAACCTGCACGCCCTCCCTAACCCTTCTCTAGGCCTTCCCCATGCCAATAGATCAAATGGTCTTAAGTATGACTTATATCCTAATTGACACTCTAATTGTCTAAGCTGGGTAAGAGATGCCCCACAAATTGGATTTGATCAATAGCGGATGCCGATGCCATTAAAAACATTATTTATTCCTCACGAGTCTGCAGTTCTGTCTTGTTACCAAACTTCCACTTGGAGCTTTTTTTATAAAGTGAATTATTATTCGCATTGTGCGCTTTGTGGATAATCGCTAACATGAGAGCTGCTTCAGATCAAAGTTACACCATGACAGTTTGTTTAATAGGCAAACCTTCAAGGGATCTAAGAAAAATACATGAGCTTTGGGCTGGCTGTAGGAAATTGGTGTATTGAAATTGGTTTCATGTACTATAATAATTGGCAATCCCTTTACGAGGGAGTTAGGAGAAAAGTTAAAAAAAAAAAATCTCTATTGAGATTTGCCCTACTCCTTTACAGAACAACATTAACACAAACAATTTACCTTTTGTTATTCCTAGTGTATTTAGTATTTTTAAACTCTCGAACTGTTTCTCGCGTTTGTCAAAGTTATTCTCTTATGTCATTTTATTTCATTAGATCTTTCCCTTCTGCGTGCTGCTTTGTTCTTTAAGCGGGTGTTCAGTTTAAGTTCTTCAATGTGCAACCTTTCATCTCTCTCTCTCTCTGTTTTTTTTTCCTTCTTTTTCCAGGCAGCTTGCTACGGCTGCAGCTGGTAATCCCCTGTTTGAGATTTTCTTGACAGTGAATAAGAAGGGTGAATACAGACAACAGGTACAATAGATTCTTTTCCACATTTATCTGAGCCTACAATGTGTTTCTTTTAATTGTCTCATGTCATTTTTCATTTTGCTAAAATATTATTAAGGAAGGTATCATTTTTAGTGGTTCCTATCTTTTGGAAGTACAGGTGTATTATTTGGGTCATTTGTATTGCAATTGTAACCCTATATACTTCAATAATAGTTTTATTATGTTAATTCAAAATCTTATTAAAAGAGAAATACAGACAACAGGTACCGTCTTTTAGCTCACTTGAAATCTCCTTTATAATGTCTGGAGTGGAACTTGTTCTGCTGAATTTTTAACATGGCAGTTTTTGGTTTCCAGTAGTTCCGGGACTCTTTAATTTTAACTTAAGATCTTTGACAAGTTTCTTGTTGATAAACTTTGAAATAATTGCTATAAGCTGGGCCTATTATCTATTATCGAAAGTTGGTAAAATTTCTTGTCCTGTGTTGCTGGATTATGGGTGGAGGCTTGTTAAAAAAATATTACTATTTCTGAAGGCATGTGTTACATTCATCATATCCGCATTCCTGAAGGGTTTCTTCCCTTGCAGATAGGTACACATGCATGTATGGTTGTGTAATCAATTGATAAATGGGGACGTACATGTGAACATGTGCTTGTTGGCCTCTTTTTTCTTTTTCTTTTTCTTTTTTTTTAAGTGGTGGCTTGTACTAATAATTTTTCTATGTGTTTTTATGGAGATTTTATATTTTTGTTTTTTTTTTTTTTTGTGACAGTTATTATGCTTTATATTATCTTAGGGCAATGTCATGGTTTTCAGGCTGTGTATTTAAAGCGGGGAAATGCATTTCAAGATATTCCAGTTTCCTCCAGAGCATCGGGTTTTAGGAACAACGTGGATCCTTTAGATTCAACTGAAGACAAAAATGATCTACTTGTTTCTGTTAATGAAGACACTGAAGATGAAGATGACAGTGATCGGGATGATGTTTCAGATCCAGCCCAAGGAATTTCCAGTTTCCAGAATATATTGAGAGATATGATCCCTGGTGTGAAGGTCAAGGTTTTGAAAGTGACAGCGCCTGGGAAGGTAGATAAGGATCTAATATCTAAAGTTATTGAGCAGATAATAGAGGAAGATGATGAAGAAAAGGATGATGAGATAGAAAATATAGAAGATGAAGATGAAGCTCAGGATGAAAGTGACCAAGAGAGAGATGTCATCGAATTGGATGGTGATCCTGGCTTTGTTGAAAGTGAAGAGCGGAAGGAAATTGCATTTAAGGTTGTAGTTGGTGGTCTTATGCAGAAAATGTCAAGTGGCATGCTCAAACGAGATGTGCTTCGAGTACCTGCTAAGCTAGAAAAGAATGGAAGGTTGTCGTTCTCATTTTCTATAGAGAATGATGCTAGCCAACAGGAATCCCGACATAAGGAAAGTGCTTCAAAGAATAAAAAATCTAAACTCAGAGGTCGACGAAGCATTGATCATGTTATGCTTGATCTCACTAAGTTCATTGGAAGAGAGAAGATACCATTAAAGGTGAGCTAACATCTTGCCTTGTGTAGTATATATTTTGTAGAGTGGGAAATAGGTACGCGTTTCTCTTTTCTAGAACTTAGGATCCATTTACACAATCATTAATGTAGTTAATTATTTTAACTAATCAGGTGCTCAAAGATGTTGGCGAATTGATAAGTCTCACCCTGAGTCAGGCTCAAAACCATCAACCACTGTCCGGATCAACAACTTTTAACCGCATTGACTTACCAACTTCTTCAGATCCTCTGAATGGTAGCTCATTCTGTGTATTCTGTTTAACTGTAAAGCACAGCTTTGCTGTGTCTTAGACCAGTGCTTGACTACTCCATATTTATTGATTATGGATTTGTGTTATCAGGACTGTACATTGGTGCACATGGGCTCTATACCTCAGAAGTCATTCATCTGCAACGGAAATTTGGTCAATGGAAAGAGGATAATGGGACAATGGAACCTTCAAATCTGGAGTTCTACGAATACGTTGAAGCCTTAAAAATTACTGGGGATCCTTATGTACCAGCTGGCCAGGTATCATCTTTAGATTTGATCAATTATGGTCATCTATCACTTGGAACTCATAGAGCTAAATTTGGGGGAGCCTAAGTACTAGTATAAATAAAATTTTCTTCACAGGTTACTGTTACAGGTTTGTGTTTCTTCCTGATGCATGAACTTTTTAATTTGTCCACCTTTCTGGATACTATATATGGTTTACAGAAAGCTAAATGCAGTTCATTCATGTTGCCTAAATCGTGCTTTACCTTTGTGATCCATTGTTTTTATGTATTTTCTTTTAGCTTTTCTGTTGAAACTTTGCCGAGAATGCTTCAGAGATCTGAAGAATAAGAGCTTCTCCAAGGATGACCTTATATATATATATATATATATTTTTCAACTTCTTTTTTTTTTTTTTTTTTTTTTTTGAAACCTTTACTGTAATGCTTGAGAGTTTTGGAGCATAAAAGCTTCTCTGAGGCTGCCATTTTCTGAATGGTCATTAAGAAGATGATTTTTATTGTTGCAAACCTATTTAAAGGGGACGTTCTTGTTTATTTTCAATTGCTTGGATGTTGTAACGATCAGTAGTACCCTATATGTGGCTTTCAATTATCCATTTTTGAGGAGGTATATTAGAGTGGTTTCTATCCGTATGATGCTTAATTGGTGCAATTGGAGAGTGAGGAATAGCAGGGAATTTATAGTGGAGTTGGGCTCCCTTTTTCTAGCCCCTCTCTCTCTCTCTTTTCAGGTTCAGTTTTGGTTTTGTCAATTTTTTACCATTCTCTGTATTTTTTGTTCCTTTTTTTTTATCAATAAAGTTCCCTGTTTCTTTTTTAAAAAAGGGAATTTAAAGTGGAGCATTTATTATAGAAATTAAAGATTGTTTTTTTGGACGTCTGCTGCCCACCTCTCCTGTTTATTTCTTGATTTCTTGTATATTGCGATTTCAGTGTTTATTTAAAGGGTGAAAACTTGATGGTTTTATTACCAATTGGTTTTTGCAGGTTGCTTTTCGTGCAAAGGTTGGTAAAAGGTACCAACTTCCTCATAAAGGAATTATTCCAGAAGAATTTGGAGTGGTATATCGTTGGCCTTTCTTCCTCTTTCCATCCCACTTTACCTCTTTCATTGTTTTTAAAAACTATTATTTGATCTTCTTTGCCAACTTAGATTGCTCGATATAAAGGACAAGGAAGACTTGCTGCACCGGGATTTCGCAATCCTCGATGGGTCGATGGTGAACTTGTTATTCTTGATGGAAAGGTTTACTTATATTTTTCACCTTGTTCAGTGTTTTGTCAGAGACAAGTTTTATCTGAAAATATGCTTTCTATTGCTAATCCCCTAAGTGATCTAACTACGGCATTACTCTTTTCCAAAATTTGCAGTACATAAAAAGTGGGCCTGTTGTTGGATTCGTGTATTGGGCCCCTGAGTATCATTTTTTGGTGTTCTTTAATCGGCTGAGGCTTCAAGACTAGATTCTTATTGTACATAACAATTAAGAGCCTTTATTTACGGCTTCGCTTTTCAAAGGTAACGTTCATGCTCTTTTAAGGGGGGAAAAAACATATATAATTTTTGGTGTGGAGATGATAATCCTGTTGTCAAGAGTTATCTTGGAAGACCTGTTATAAAATTCTTGGATCTTGTGCATTGCTCGGTCTCACACATGTCTAGTACAGAGATTATTTGTTGGCTTCTTTGAGAATTTCTTCCTCGACTACTATGCTTTTCTTTATATGTATCTTTTTAGATAGGGCAATTTTGACTCTCGCTCTTTCTTTCCAAATTGGTTATATTATCTGTTGCAGACGTTGAGTAGATTAAGTTGCTTTATAATCAAATAATGCCTTCATGTTTTTTTCGTCATTTGTTAATTAGAATTTTCTCAGATAGGAATCCATGCTTTTCCATTTGAAACTGCAACATCTGGTTTTACTTTTCTTCTTTGTTGCAAAAATGAACATATTCTAATAGCTACAATGGATCAAAGTCCAATATGGTGGCAGAATCTTAGGCATTGCCTTCTGATATCTTTTTATTATCTATATTGTTTTGCAGTTCAGAAGAATTTTTTTTTGGCCCTTAAAATCATCTTTTTTTCAATATGAGCAGTGGAGAAATCAGGAGATGTAGGATTATATGTATTTAATGCTTGCTCAACTGACTTGTGCACTTGATCGACTCTACAGAAGTAACCACTGAAGCTTTGGCATGCAAATGATATTTTGCCTTTCTATTGCTTCTTTACTTGTTTTGGGCAATGCTTTTTTCGTCAGATGTATGTATTGACCTCTTGATGTATTATCAAGCCCCTTTTTTTCCAGTTACATTCTTAATTGCTTGCAGTCTACTTATAACCTTAGAGGTTCATAGCTTAAATTGCTTCCACAATTCCAAGTGATAGGAAATCAGAAATTTGTGAATTAGCTGAGAAGAGCTGAATGATTACCTCTGTAAATAGCCCTTCTAAATGTGGATCCTAAACTTAATTTTCTAGTATGTGGCGAATATCTTTGTACTTATTTGATTATTATTTGGACTCATTTCTTATTTTCACGAAGACATTTGGTATTATTGTTTCTTATTAGTTTTGTTGGTATTACATCCGTTACCTTGTAAAGTGTGGTCGAAGCAGAAAAAGCACCAGATTATTATCTCATAAATTGTCGATTTGTTGGTTAGTTTCTGAAGTGTCGTGGGCAATGTTTACGAGAAACTCTTTAAAAGACGGATAACGTGGGTAGAGAGAGGAAACTAATTGCAACTTGCCAGTGTTTTGACATTTCCTTCTCCAGTGTGTTGACTTTCGACCTCTTTGGTTTTAAGTTGGAAATGTGCTGAGTAGCCTGTCGTTTCATGTATGTCTTTCTGAGTTAGAGCTATATTATTGCACTAGTCAACTGACCTCAGTAAAGAACCACGTACCAGAATGAAGCATTTGACAATAATCAAAAGATACTACAACTAAACGAAGGTGGTTAAACTTTTTACTTGGTTATGGGTTTTCCTATCCTTTTTGGCTAATTAAACAATGTTATTTGTTAACTAGTGTCATCCTAATTGCAGTGCAAATGACACAAGTACCTATCCTAGTACAATTCCATATCTAAGAAAAGCTTTCCACTTTAATTTTTATTTATATCACAGATTGGTGTTACACGGTAGTAGAATGACCCATCAGCTCCATGCACGTGGTTCTTAACAATACTTTATTCAGGCCAACTGATATCCACCATTCGACAGAAACCACACCTTACAGTCTTGAAGGGACATAATTCAGCTCAAAAAAAAAAGAAAAAAGAAAAAAGAAAAAAGAAAAAAGAAAAAGAACATAACTAACTAGTGGTTTAGCTTGGTATTAACATATTATTAGCACGATAAATTCATGCTTTTTCCAGCTGCAACAAAGGACACTTGATTTGCTATTTTGGCCCCCCTTTCTTTGGCCATGTACAACCCTACATGATGCATAAATTCCTGCATGCCAGATGAAAGAACCACACAAGTTGGTTATTAGCAGACTAAATTTGTACTTATGCCATATTCATACAACATATTTATGTCAAAACCACTCGCGCTAATACCATGTAAACTTGCCAATTCTCCCAAAAGCTTAAGCTATTTGAATATGTTCAATAATAATATAATATTCTAGTAACATGTTTTCGTTGTGTGAGAAAGATGATATTGCATATTGAGGAAGTTTAGTGGAATCTGAATAATACTCTTTAGAGATTCCAGCAAAATAATTAACATATACTATAATTACCTGGGGATGAGCTAAAGCACCTTTGGTGGTCCTGGCAACCTCAAGAGGAATGTCAAAGGTGGCGCAGGCACGAGAATACACCACCACGTCCTCAAGAGGGTTAAGAAACCCACGGTTTCTTGCTGATAATGTTGAGCATACAAAGTCTAGTACACATATGTCCGTGCACACCCCTACAACCAATAACTTCACCACCACAAATGATGTTAGTCACTGCACAATTCTATAGCCTTTCAAATATTCAACAAATATACAAAGTGTAAACCACAACCGCCAACTGAAACAAAATATCAATGGACAAGTTTTTAATAGTTACGTTCTCATCGTGGCTATCCATTAAGTATGAAAATTTGATGACATAGCATAATAAGAATCTAATTTTATCAATTGTCATAAATTTTTTAGTCAACTATCTAATTTATTATAACCATCGGATTAATATTTTACAGTTAAAATAATGATATTCATAAAAAAAACCATGCTCAAATATCAATATATGTATATCCTTAAAGTACAACTGTCGGACTTAAGATTGTATCTACCTATATAATTTGTTTACAAAGTTTTTTTTTTTTTTTTAAGTAGTTCTAATTTGTGTAACGGGAATTATTAAAACAAAAAAAAAGTTCAGCTAGAGGATTTATGTCATATAGCTGTTCATTAAAAATCTCGTCCCCTTAATAAAAAGTAATTCTTGTAACCATCAATCATGGTTGTTAGTAATTATTATCATAACTATAATAATCTGATATGACAACGCAAAAGAAAATAATCAAAACCAGTATTTTTCTGAAATACTCTCTCTTCGTACCATAAGAAAAATTCTCTAAATTTAACTACTTACAGTCTTGATCTGGTTTTGCTTCACCCAGTCCACAAAAACATTTGAACCGTCAGCCTCAATTGAACCCAAGTATCCATCAAAGCACTCCTTGCGTCTGATTCTCACATTTTGTTCTTTCTCTAGCCATCTTAGAGCTGCAGATTGCGTTTGGAAAACCTCATATTGCAGTCAACAAACTGAGTTGAATTTTCGCAAAACTAAAAGAAAAACTCAATTCTGAAAATCAATACTTGTGTAGAACTAAAGGTTTCGTTCAGTTTGTGAATTTGATTTTTTAATTCATGTGACTTTATGTAAGAATTTTTAAATGTAGTTGAAAAAGTTGGATGAGAATTTTTAACTGTAATAAAATTAGAATTGAAAACTTGAATCGGTGAAATGAAACGAGACCTATATATAATTAGTTGTGTTATACACACCGGGAACCAAATTCGACTCGTCTGTCCCAGCAATGCAGTGAGGAGGATAAGGGTCTTCAGGTTTGTTTGGTTGGTGAGAATCAAGGAAAGCCATGACCGGCAGCTTTTTCTCGCAAAACTGCCTCGCCAGTGCTGCTGACTCGCTGATCATCCCGGATACCTGCCTATTCGGCTCTCTTGGAGCCTGAAGAACACGGAATCATGACATAATCATATCGTATTAAGAAAAGTAGGATGATTCAATTAACGAAATTTTATGAAAATTTTACCGTTCGAAACTGCGTCCTACCAGTAGAGTATTTATTTTATTTTATTTTATTTTTTTCAATACCCCGTCAAAGAATGAAATACAAAATGGCCTGTTGGTGATTTGATCTAATATGTACCCCTAGGAAGATATATTTTACGAGGAAAAATTTCTATATATATAATGAAATTTCTGGACCGTCAACTTTCAGTAAGATTTTATGAGATGATCATGTCTGATATGATGATCTAAATATTAAAATTTGTTTACTCTTTCTCATATATTTTTAGTGTGTGCTAGAACTTTACCAGATTTCCAGCACCAACTGTGCAGAAGCCATTGATGATGTCCACAAGAACAAGACCAATCACAGCGTCTTCAGAGAAATTTACAGTCTCCTGCTCAAGAGGAATCTCATTCCTCAAAAGATCAATTGTCTGAAGCACCATACTTTTCCACTACTATTGATCAACCGTCAACTGCAAATTTTTTTTATTTTTTTTATTTTTTTTTATGAGAACACTATGAAGAGCTAAACTCTTGGATGCTGCGTATATTTATATCCAAAATATGTTGCCAGATATATTGGATCTTATATCATAGTCTTGAATCTTAATGATAGAGTCCGATAACGCTAGAAATAACGTGTTTCTCGTCCTTTTGTGATCCAAGTCAAAAAAATTTACCAATTGATAAGACGTGAATAACTAGGGTGGAGATTTATGTCTCATTTGTCATGTTCATTTCACCGATTCAAATTTGTTATAGTAAAAAACTCTCATAAACAATTAAATTTAATTTTTTACTACAATAAAAAGCTCTCACATAAAATCACATTTCAACTCGAATTAAAAACTCGAATCAAGAGACTAAACATCTCCTTAGGCTATTTCACTTGCCGTTTCCTCAATTAAATGTTGACACATCACCTAAATTTTACACATAAGCAAGTTAACAAAGTTTCGCGAATTTAAATTTTTAATTCGAATTGAAATGTTATATTTTTTAAGAGTTTTTAACTGTAGAAGAAAAAAGTTGAATGTAATATTTTCTGAGAATTTTTAATTGTAGAAACTTAAAATTAAAAATTTAAATTGATAAAACTAATAAGATCTAAATAATTTGGACTTTTCATTTTTTTTTTTAATCTTTATTAAGCAGTGGCCGTCGTGCGAGTCCTTCCTGCCCAAATCTGGCGTGTGAGACAAAAACGACCGCTTGTGCATTATTCAGTATATAAAGACCAACAAGAAATGGAAACGCAGCCCACCATCGCTGTCAAGATAGAAATCAATCCATCCCAAGTTGCGAATTCAACTTAACTCCATTATTAGTGCTTTGTTAAGAGAGAAAGAAGAAAATAGGTCAAGATTTGAGATGAATTAAAATTAATAGGTTAATAGTTTATATAAGTTAATAAATAGGCTAAATTATTATTGTCGTCCATAATTTGTCTGGTTATGAACCATAACTTGACAAGTTATTGTCCATAATTGTTCGTAACTTGTCTGATTATGAACCATAACTTAACAAGTTATGACCTATTAATTTCTATAACTAAAAATTGGCCTCCATTATTAGGGCTTGCTTACATTTGATGGGGAAATTTATATATAGTTTACTAGTCAGATTTTTTTTTTTTAAAGGGTTTACTAGTCAGATTTGAATGCACATGAGGCACACAAAAAGATTGGTGTGACCCGTGAGAAAATAAAAATGTTGAGCAATTGAGAAATGATCATCTGATTCGCTTGTATGTTATTTAATTTTAATGAATTATTAACCTCGTATTTTTATTTATTTTCACACTTAATTAAACCATTTAATAAGTAGCGTCTTCTAAAATTAGGTAATTTTTACACCTTACCAAAAAATTATCGAACACTGAAAATTCATACCAAAGGATGACTCCTTCCATCTTAGTTTGGCATTCGAATCTCCT